GTCGTTTTTAATATCTCTCTTTTTTCATCCAATAGAGGACGCATGATTTCTAAATTTATACACGATTTACAGACAAAAGTACACTCGGACCTTACTTTACAGTTTCGCATGAATGAAAACTATCGATGTGCAACTATTGGCATTCACATCGACAGTAGTGTTTTTGTATATATAACAATTTTTCATGACATCGATATATTATAATAGAATAATGGAAATAATAATTGTATATTTCATCAATGGGTACACTCGCAGAGGCAAGCAAATGAATTTCAAATACAGGCTTTCTTAAACATCTCGAAACACAGTACATTAGTTTATGACATAAGCAATATTTGAAATCGTTAAATACCGGAACTAATATCTTTATACACTTTAATAGCAACTGGGCCCGATTTATGTGTATCGAGTCGGTCGTAATTTGATTACGGTACTCAACAGCTATTTTGTGTTCGAAAAGTTTTTCATTCGCTAGTAAGGACAAGTAAAATCATGGGGGGTGCCACTCACTATTAATTACCCTACAACACAATACTATTGTCCATATACCAACTCTTCAAAAGAAGTCGCTATGGTCCGATCCAAGCCATTTTCAATAAAGACAGTACTTGGGCCTTGAGTTGGACACAAGACGAGCAGATAAGCTTTAAATTTATAAAGTGATTCTGAAACTGTCCGCATAATAAAATCCGCCGTCTCAAGTCCTTCTGGATGTTGTATACATCCGCACAAACTTAATATACTCTTGCACTAGTGATGTTAGGTATAAGATTCACCGACAGCTGTAAACTTCTTAGTCACTCCTTACTCATTCACAGCGAGTCGATAATAGTCTACTATCGAACTAACTTGACCTGGCCTGAGAATAGACATAATTTCAGAAATCAAATTCCGCACCACGACACCATTGTAATTCCGATAGGAGTGTGTACTTACAGCAAACTCAGTTCAGGATAAGAAACTTCTGTTTAAGATATTTCTACATGTAATATATTTTCTTGAAATTTCACCGCAAAGCTTAGCTTTCATTCAGCGCGCAGATGTGTTGGATGTCTGTGCGGGCTGAAAAACAACTGCGAACGATTACAAGCGAAACTCTGTTATATGGTTAATTAAAGGCACACCTTCTAAGAAAATTTGTCAATTCGACCGTTTGGCAAACGTCATCTGGAAATATTAGTAGGGTGTGTTTAAGAGCATATATCTGTCGTCTTATTCTAAGAAGGAAGAACAAACGTTTAGTTTTGCACTAACCCTGGCCAGACCATTAGGCAGATTCAGATGACTTTGAAATTCACTTCATTACAATGGAAAGCGAAAACTTTAAGGCTAACTCTGTTCTAGTAGAAAAGATGTTGATTGGCCCGTAGTGACTATAATAAGGGGAAAGAAGGTTCTGTTAAATCGATGCTTTATTGATACTGATTAGAAAACATTTCATTATCAAGAAAAAAAAAAAAAAAAAACTTTACAAATATTTAGTTAACTGAAATTTCAACGCATTTTTAAAATCTGTCTCTGAAAGTTAGATTTTGTATGATGAGAGTAATAGGTAAAAAATCCTTCTGTCAAAAAGAATTGATCTGTCTACGAGCTTAACGACAAGTTACACCTTTACGTTTTAATTCTTGCTCGCTATTGCGGTACTTGTAAACATAACATCATTCACTCCTGTAGCAATTAATAACATACGTATGATACATATGTGCACAGAATACATATGTGAATGTTACAAACGGCATGACACGTTTATTATCCCATCGTTCTTTCCTGACGCTGAAAGCAAAAAAAAAAAAAAAAAAATGATTGCGAGTGCCTTTCATTACGAAGCCGCCTTCCCTTAGCAAACAATAGATTTGAATCTATTTGCTTATGTATAAAAAGCAAGTCATCCGCATTTACGATTAATGATTGGTTTAAAATTGACGAATTATTTATTCTTCGACATTTTACATGTTTTCATTTGATAATCACGTGCGAGAAAGGGTATACAGAAAAATAACGGAAATGACTCATCCCACTATGCTATTATCAACTCTATCATCAGCATATCCGTGGCATTATATATGAACTGCCTGAGCTCATAAACTTTTTTAAATTGATTTCATTGCTTGAGCCAATATTGAATATCTGTCGTGTCAACATATGTCAATTGTGTATTTAATATCAACTGATTGTCTCAAATATTACGGTTTTGTGTGCTTTTCTTTCTTTTTTTCCTTTTCTCTCTCTCTCCCTCGCTTAAACACATTTAAATTGAATTATTTGTTTAAAGTGTGGAAATCATTTTTGGTTACGTGCGGGGTTCAATACACTTCGTTTGCTCAAGACTGAAATTCAAATAACTGCTGTGATGGACGTTTAATTCACCAGAAATTTCTTGAAACTCTTTAGATGCACAAAATGCACACAAAAATGAAGCAACGTTCGTTTATGATACCATATGACGTATATAGATAAGCACCCCTCATAGTGACACATGGACAGATTTAGCAAATAGAGTGCATTTGTGTTTATTCGTTTTTAATTTGGAAAGGCAGCTGAATGTAGAAGGGGTTACTTTACTTTTCCATTAAGATTTTCTTAAGATCACTAGGTGCGTGCACATGTACTTACCTCATGTCGAAATTACTAACTACCCCGTTGGATTTCCGACTACAGATTGATGTGTGCGACAAATTGTCCAGCGGACAGAAACTCAGAAAAGAAAAACAATGTCCGCTTTCGTCAATAAATTATAGTGTATAACTGAGCTATAATGAAATCCATATACGAAAACAACCAAGCGTTAGTACTAACCCTTCATTCCCGCCAGCTTGAAACAACACATGGTAATCAGAAAATTTTTACCAAAAGTAGATGGGAACGACTTGTTTCTTCGTAAAGCCCGGAAAACATTTGCAGGAAGTTCTAAATTGATATCTCTGGAGGGCTTCCAGTTATAATTTTTCATCTGCTTGGCGGTAAATGTAGACGGATTATGTTGCCACTTAAGATTATGTTCGTAAGCGTATGTACCGAGCTCTATACCAGTCATGTGCGGCAAATCGCACAAATCGCACGTTTTTAGTTACTGTGGGAGAATTGCGTTCGTTGTCAAAAATCGATCCGTGACCAACAACCAGCGAAAAATGTTAATGCTTAGTTCCAGTCGTCTATCTATGCTGTTAACGAGAGGTATACCTGATACACCTGTTTTCTTATGCTCATATACGACCAGGATAAATATAAATATACTTATCACTAAAGGCTAAGGTATACTAATTTAGTCTTTTCGCTTGTAACAGCCAGAAGGAATCATCAGAGACTCCACAATGATTAGCATTAAATTCTGCGTCAATTTAAATACATCCGTCTGTACAGCTGTGTAATGTCTGTTTGAAACCTACTCCTGGCCGTAAAAATGAAGCTACCGACTTCAAATATTGCAGAGAAATTAGAAGTTCTTGCACGCAAGTCGGTATTGAAAATGGCCCAAATCGATTGAAGGACACGCCTATAATATTACTATTAAAATGAGGACACCTCTGTTTTTCAAAAGGAATAAAAAGTTGATTTTTTGCTCATTTTTTATAAACAATAGCAGATAATCCTTCAAAAAGTTGAACATATATTCTATAGACGATGCTGTATCATCTGCATAGAAATGAAGAAAATTGACCATGCCTACTCAATATTATAACGTATCAAAATTTAATTCTTTCAATAACGCGCAAAAACAAGCTTCAAACACCCCATAAAGTGTCATCCACAAATTTGGAATGCATCTAACCATGTCATCGCCAGCATCGCTTACAAACTTGCAAAAGAATTTGAAAATGATCCAAACTTACAATACACACACGTCTACGTAAGGAAAAGTTTTCCGTATTCTTTGCGTGTTACTCATGAGCTCCAACGCATACAACACGTAAATTTCCACTTTATATTCCGAAAATAGAAAAATTGTCTTGGGATCAGGGTACGAAAGATTCGGTTAGGACAGAGTACATTTTTCTTACTTCTTGTTTTTAAATACATATTTGCCCAAATCCCGAAATGAAATAATAACTAAATAATTTGCTAACGGCCTAAGTAATCGATTGATCCGTAGACGACGACGAGATTGACTTGACAACACACGAAAATGATACAATCGTTTTTGGATTGATGATGCAAACATGAAATTTTATATTCGATATCGAAGAAAACTCATACGCTAGCGAATACTATCAGGTCACTACTATTTTAAAAGTCAAAACTTTCGCCGATTATAGTGCATTTCGCAATACGGTCCTGAGACCCTCCTTTCACTCTAGATCATCGCGAAGCTGATTCATATGTTTCAACAAAATTTTGCATTTTTAGCTTGTCGAAGATGAATCGATACTAATGCATATAAAGTTCCCAAGATTGAAGGAAAATTTATATAAAAGATTCTGGTTCCAAAATTATATGAAAGAGTTTGAATATGTGCAAATGAAAAATAAGTAGGGAAAGTTTTCTGTTCTTTATTTATTCACTAGTAAAGTAAATATTTTTCGTAAGGTATCCTTCTTTCTTAGTCTACGTATTAGGTTTATATAGATTAATAGTGCAAGAGTTCGATAATGTATTTAAAACCAAGAGATTCGCAAATAGAAACTCTTTTTTTCCGAAGAATATTTTCCAAGATAATGTATTCTTCTTCTTCTACAAGAATTCAGCGAATCAACAGCGGATGATTTATTATGCTGAGTAGAAAAGCTTAAAATAGTATGATCGTCGAAGCAACAGAGATCTCGAAACAGTTTTCGCGCAATGTGTCTTGCCGAAATACACAACAATAAAGAAATCCTTGTTCGCTTCGACAATAGAGTCTTCTCATTAATGAATATGCGATTTATTCATGGTACCAATAAGTCTTTCTTACTAAAGTAACCAAGAAGCAAGAATTTCTCGATGCGTTTTTTCTGTATATCTTTGTCTTCCCATTAGCCAAGCGAATTAATCTGTTTAATGCTTTTTTCTTTCTTCTCAAGTCTGCAAAGAATGGTTGGTGCGAGAAGATGGAGCTTTAGCCTATAAACTGCAGTCGCAAGAAAGTGAGCGTTTTTAGAGTTCATTTTTTCAATTCATTGAGTTTTTTTAATTAAACTTTGAACAATTGCAGTCAACGATTTTTATAAAGGCAATCGTTTTCGCAATGCAGTGGTCCGAGAGGATTTTCCAACAGCTTTGCAAGAACAAATTAAAGAAAAAGAAACTGCCGAGAAGCAAACGGAAGTTTACAGAAGAAAACTAAAAGAACAGTAAGCTATGCAATGGAAAAGTTGAGGAGATATCGCAAAAATGAACTAATTAAAATCTCATTGCAGAGAAGAACATGACAAGCGGGTGGCTAAAGAAATCGCTGAGAAATTGGAGAAAGATTTGCAGGAGCAAAAATTGCAACAATTAAAAGAAGGACAAGAAATGGCTCAAAAAATGCAGGTAAGTTCTACCGAGAAAAGTTAATCCTTAATGGAAGTAATGATTGATGCCGTATTACTTTTTTCTTCTTTTTTTTTTTTAGGAAATTTACGTAAATATGCCACCGGTGCCGCCACCCAAACATCAGGTACCTCCGCCACGGCCGGCTAAGAACAGCACTTTACAACCACAGCAACAAAATTATGATTCTTACCATAACACAACTAACGGCTATCGGAATCCGCATTCCTATGCACCAGCACTACAACAACAATATCCTTTACTTTTGCAACAGAAGCATTTTTCCAATACCGACGGTTATGTAGGTTTAGCTTTACAAAGCACCGCTGCACAACACTTGCAGCAACGTAGATCGCCAAAAACAAATCAAAATCACCTTTTGGTAGGTGATGATGATGATAAGCAATCGACACAGCACAACAGTAAAACCACATCATCACCACAATATCGTCATCATCATTCGTCTTCATCACCATCATCTCTAGCCTTATCTGTATCGGCCACGACCACGGCGAATGCTTCGAGACGACATGTATTCGATTCCGTTTTACCTAATATGAACACTAGTTTAAATTATTCAGCACACCATTTAGCGAATTCACCGCACACACCGTTAACACCAAAATCACCTACACATGCATTTCTCCACACACCACCGCCAATACCAACAACCCAATCACCTATACATCAAAGTCATCCCGATATAGAAGAAGTTGTAGAATATTCTGATGTAGCCGACAGTATACGACGTTATAATATTTCCAAAGAATCACCCGATTCACCCGATTCCATTTCACCACAACATTTTCAGCACAACCACCATAATCACTTAGTTGCACACTCCAATAAAATAAATCGATTCATGTCGCCATCTAATGAGAATCTATTGAAAAATGAACAAATCTTTCAGAAATTGTCGCCACAAAAATACGATCAACTAGTGGGTAACGCGGCGACCGGCAATGCGACTACTGCTGCCAATGAAAAGCATTTACAAGAACACGCCGATGATATCGAATTGTATGTTGATCCTTGTGATTACGCCAGTCTTAAAGAAATCGGTTTACCTATGCATGAAATTAAAGAGATCAGTGAAAAATTAAAGCAAGAACAGAAGGATGAGGTTCGTATCATTCATGCAATTTTTATTATACAATCGATACCATTCGATTTATTTGGAAAACTTTGCACAATATATTTGCAGTTATTGGCTCGACGCTTACAAGAAATGGAAGTGAACGATGGGTTAACACAAGAGGAAAGGGATCGAATGCTGGCCATCGAAGCTCAAGACAAAGAATTAGCTAAAATGTTACAAGAACGAGTATGTTTCAAAGATAACATATACGCCTCTAATTAATTAATCTTACCCGCAATCGTTGAATTGAATTTTGGTTAATTTTTCTTTTTTATAAATTATACTCCAATGCTTACCAAAGATGGATTATCGCACGTGGAATAGTTTACATCCACAAGTAGTTCAATTACCACGACGTCACAGTTTTTTAAGTTTATGTCCTTCTCGAAAACTTGAAATGTTTTCCTCTCATTTGCCACGTATCGACACCAGTGGAATTTGGGTTTGTTTTTGCAAGTTTTCAAATTAATTTTTCGTAAAATCTATATATAATTTTTTCATCAAATAAACCCATCTTCTCTCATTAGCTTCAAAGCATAATTCATTTCTCGCAATGCTGCTCTGCAACGCTTAGTTATGCAAAAGCGTAGCAGTAATGTTCCCCATTAAAATTTGCTAAAATGGAATTTGAGGTAGTAACCAGAATTCACTTTTTGCACTCCTAACTTCCCGATTTCTCGTCTTGTGTATGCCGACGTAGGAGATTTTGAAAAACATGCAATGCTCGCGCATATTTGACGTAGGAGGGTAACGGGTTAAAGAGAAAGTTCATTTCTTATGAAAGAACATAAAAAAAGAAAGGGCATAAATTTTGAACTGATTATTTATGGACAGTGGTAGGAACATTTCTTAAGGGAAGTTTTTCCATTTATTTACCTTTTTGCTCTAACTGCTCTTTGTGAAGACATTCTAACATTGCACGGCTAAACTACTTCTATAACAGTCAAAAAAATACTGATGATAGACACGTAGCTTTTATAAAACTCATTTTCACTTACCCTATGTTGTTAGGGTTCAAGCTGTTCGCAGTTAATTTGTTTAAATTAGCCAAATCAAATTGAGTTTCACTTTCGACGATTAGTCGCTCTTCCTATTTACATAGAGATGGTCACACACAATGGCGAACAATTATTTACATATATTTAGGCTTGTAATTACCAACGAACATCTGCTTGTAAAGAATGAAATTATATAACCAGTAAGTTTAATCCTGATTTCTGTTACTATCCAAACACGGATTATGGTTAAATATATTTTTATTACTACCTATTGCCTCCTCACGACCATGTCAACTCATCATTGCAAATCAATTCTTTGGACACCATTATAAAATGTGAAACACTTCATACAAATCTATATTCGATTTGGATCTTGGATATTCACAATCCCAAATATTTTTCCTTTAACCATGGCGCAATAGCTAGTAGTAAATTATTTTCTCCATTTATTTTTTTTTTCCACCACATTGAGGTTTTCCGGTTTTTAGCACTTGTTTAAGATTATTTTAATTCCTAATCTTCACGAATTTTATATTCATGCCACTGTCGCTGCGAAACCAATTTTCATAAAATCCTCCTCAATTGTCGCGAATAAGTTTCACTTACTTGTTTATTAACTCAAAATAATTGGCGAAATTACACATACAACATAAACTTGTAAAATTACTCAACACCATCCCACAATTATCAATATAATAGCTTTTCAAAATGAAGTGTTATATGGGAAAGGGTCGAAACGTGGTTCGACGCGACAAACTTTCAATAGCTTTCGTCCTTGGACCAAAGCGTTAATGTATCAAATATGTTCAAAATATCCCAAAAATCGTGGTTTGCAAGTTTAACAGAAAATTAAGAAAACAAGGCAGACGTACAGACAGCCTAGCTTGGGTCAATTCATAAACTGATTCTAAATCGGCTGACTTAAGAAAAGCTAAAGTTCTTCTAGTTGACTCATAAATCTCTGTAACCGTAATATACGCTTGTATCACAAGTGGTTGCAGGTTTATAAAAACGTATTATCTGAGGTTATAAATTGTTCCATTCCTTTGTTTCCCTATTTGGATAAATTCAAATAGAAAGATAAGACTGTATGCTGTTTCTATACGTCGGCAGAGTGTGTTTGATTCGTTTATAAATGCTTCCCAGCATTGATCGCCAAGCTTGTATGATTCCGATAATAAATTTTTAATGTATTCCTTGATAACGAACAAATCCGAGAAAGTATTTTAAAAATACTGAGACTTTGCAAACAATGTTATGCTCAAATGCTCCAGATTGACATAATAATGCGCGTCGAAACATATAACCAGTAGGCTTATTGACATATTAATGGTGTCCAATATTCATTCTAAGACGAGTACAGCTTTCCCATTTGTTACCGCAATTGAACCGATTATTTTACCAATTGTAATACAACTCCGATTTTTGTCCTTGACGTCCTCATTCCAGGAAAAAGCCAAAGCTAAACGTGCCAAAGAAAAAGCCAGACAACGTAAAAGCCAACAGAAAGATAATGGCCACAATGGACCTATACAGCCATTGCCGCAAGACTCGTTGGTCATGAATTCTTCCACCGTTTCATCGACTACATCATCGACATCGTCTACTAAGCAGCCCGAATCTCAGTCATCGACATTGGAAGATTCCATTGATTTGGAAGCCTACTCTAATCCTATTGATGTCATTAAACGCACGCAAAACGGATGCCTAACCAATGGTAGCTTAAATCGTGAATTGGTTTTTCAACAACAACAAGCTCGTCATGCCAGTTTGAATCGTGAAGACGATATCTACACTTTACCCGTCGATAGTTGCCGTCCACCTTTGACACCACCACAAGCCACTAGTACTATGAGGCCGGCATCTATGAGTATTGGCCACGAGGCTAGTCATTCAAGTTACTCGCAAAACTCTATGACCAGGTAAACAATCGCGATTAAAACAAAATGTTTTTTTTGTAATAAATTAATTTCTTCTTAAAGATCTGAAAACTTTTCCATCCACTCTCAAGATTCCTCGAATTCGCGTTCCAAAGCAACAACAACATTTGGTATATATGTATTGAACTGAATGTGTAAATTGATTTCAAATAAATTAATAATAAAATATCTTCCTTTACGAAAAAAAAAATTTTTTTTAGACCAAAGCTCAAGTCCAACACCACCTTATATGCCGATTCAAGGTACGCGGCGATCAAATTCAAATGAGGATCGTAAAAAGAAATCCAAGGACAACAAATGCACACACCAATAAGTCTTAGAATTTTTATGGAAGGCAGTCACTCGTATATTGAACCAACCAACAACGTACACTTCAATGAGAAACAAAAAAAAAAAAAAAAGAAGTGAGCTCAGAATGAGCGAAACGAAAAATAGTTAATCTTAATACCTAATCATAATCTTAATCTGCAAAAACAAAAAGACTTTTCATATAACAAAATATTTTGCTTTTAGATAATTCTTTATTTTAGTTCACATTTTCTTTTTTACACTTAAGATTAATTGAATTTTTATTTATTTCATTTTTATTTATATCATTGAATTTTTTTTTTTTTTTTTTTTATATTATTTTCCATGGAAAAAATGAAGTGAAGTACTTATTAATATACATACAATAATACAAGAGTTAGTAAAAATATGTGTCTAAAGCTAATCACAGAACAAAATATCCTCTTCAAAGAATGATCAACAAAAAATGTCTCTCTTTTTTACCCTTAAAATCAAAATGAAAAAAATGCTAATGAATATCAAAAATTTGTAGATGATTTTTGCTATGAATTACTATAGCTATCGAAAAAGGAAACGTTTTACTTAAAAATCTAAGATTTACTTAAGCATAATGCTATATACACAAATATTAAAATAATTACAAATAAATTTAATTCAAAAATTTATTTTCTAGAATATTTACTAAAAGTTCTGCATTTATATTGAAATCTTGCGAAAAGGAGCAAATCCTTAGTCTAATCGAAAATATTTAGAAAGCAGCCACTACTTACAAGTATCATTAGTTTGATAGAATAATATTAAAGTCAAAACAATCTTGTGACACCGCTAAGTAATATTTAATAATTTCTGTTCCGTCAACAACATGAACAACAACATAAAACTCACAATTTTTACAAAGACAAGTTATTAGAACTTGTCATCACACGATTGCGAGTAATATAAAAATAAATATTAAAGAGACATTATAAAATCAAAAAAGATTAGTTATCTCGTTGCACTGCATAGTAGCGAGACTCGAACCTTTCCCTGTTATTCCTTCTCTCGCCCTTATTCTAACAGATCTGTACATTTGAAAGCGGAATTTTTTGTATGAAAATGATAGAAGCTATTTAATACGAAGTAGTGCCTATCGCTAGCTATAGATTTTTGCCACGCGCTTGACAATTTCTGGATGCTACGCCAGAAAAACTCTCTTTTGAGGCAAATCAGACATCAAGCTATTTTGTACTTCTTCTTATTTGTAAGAAATATAGCGCTGCTCAGCAAGTGAGTGTCCCGTCAAGGTAAACGAGTGGTTATCGGAAAGATGTGAGTTTAGGGAGGAAGCTGCAAGGACTAGTACTTCGCTTTTGAGTGCTGCCAATGCATTACGAATCCATTGAGCTGCATGGATTGCAGGATGGATGCCTGGTTAAAAATGACCGCGATTTGCTTTTTTTAATATTTTGCTCGTTTTTTGTGCTGCGTAAGTGTTCAAATCGATCAATTGTTGTTGGGTGTTAGACGTCGCATTCGCATTTAACATCTTTGACGCAGAGCGAGTAGCACATCATTGTGTTTCTGCGAAAGTGATTCAATCTTAGGGGCAAGGTGGATGATATGACTGGATCTGCCGACAAATTTTTACACCTGGGATTATGAAAATGAATCCATTTTTTATCTTCAGTTCACGTACGATGCGAAAAAAGAGCCATTCTTTTGTATCGGTCGAGGAAAGCAAAAAGCATTTCATTCAAACTTGACATTTCCGTTGTTAGCCGAATTGCGATATTAGTATTACCACTGTTTATCCGGGTGTCCAAGCTATGAAAGAAACACGGCTTTAGATATACATACCCCGTACACTTAATCTTAGAGCTATCCATATACAAATTTCGGTTTCATATCTATATATTAATATTTTTTTATATAGCTATATCAATATATATATATATATACTCGGAAAGAGTATTGAAATTTTAAAGTGTCAATCGACAACTGCGACGTACTACGAAGGTAAACAACATTTTGCACATGAAGCGATACAATTCGCTTTCTTGTTTACGAGAATGCAAAAGAGAGTCAAAATCTCGCAAAAAAAAATACACGCCTTTTATCGAAAATAATAGCATGAGCAGAAAGTAGTTTGCTTAGCAATCTACGTACTACGTAGATCTCTACCTTTAACTTAATCCTCACGGTTGTCTGTCAGCCTTTGCCGATGCCAATCCTATCATTCGACATTGGTCCGGCGCGTACGTTGATCGTGTGTAGGTGGAACAACCGTTTCTAAACATTCCACGTTTGAACGTTACGGGTTTATTAAACCCAGTCACAATGGACAAGTCCCAGTAGAAAATGCGATAGTTTTCAAAATGGAACGAAAGTATATTCTCTTTCGGTATGTTTCACTTAAGAAATAACAAATAAAGGGCAGGAAACTAACGGCATGGTAAGTCCTGTGCACGGCATCCATGCTGTAAGCCATACACTTGCCAAACGAGGTTTGACTTCCGTTTTGCCGTTGCGTAGATATTGATCTGCGAAGATGTTTGCTTGACCAATCGTTATTGATGTCGATAAAAGGGCGCTTAACAACTGACGATCTTTAATCTCATCAATGGCCTTACAACGGTAAATGAACTTGAACTTCACTGCGGACATATACGCTGTTCAAATATGTACACAGATCATACTTACGCTTATTGAATAATAATGAATAAAATTTATTATTGCTAACACGCTACATTGCTAGCACTCTCTTACGGATGGTGTTAAGCCACAATTAACAAATATTCGTTTTATTTTTGGTTTTTTTCTTTTGACAATATAAACTGCGCAGTCGAAATAAAACTATAATACGGATTATAAAGGATTTCCATCCAATACTCTGAGATATCTCAGCTGCAACTCTAATGCAAACCCAAAAGAAAAGGATTTTTCTCTTTCTCTCTTAATGCTTAAGATAATATCGCACTTATTTTGTGCTTAATACAATTTTTTGTGCCACTTCCATTTTATATTTAAACTTTGTTTTTATTTTTTTCTTCGTTTTTTGCTTTTATATCGGCAAAGCATTTCCTATGGTTCAAACACGAATTTCGAAGACTTAGTTGAATCGTCGTCTTTGTGCTTTCTGTTAGCTTAATAGTTCAAGTTAAGCCGAAGTTATCAACAACGCAACAGCCCAAGTTGTAAATAGGCTAAAAGGAGGTCTATTAAGTACATCGTCTTCCTGAAAGTAGACACAGTCACATTAGTTGCAAATTATTGAATTGAAATGGAATTAATTACTCGTTTGATTCAAAAATGTAATTTATATGTCATGCAAAATTTGCTAAGTAACAATTTTAACAAAAGTTTAGCATAAAGAGGGTAGAATGTCAAGAGAGGGAGAAATTCTAAATAAAAAGGAGAAGACTTATACTTTAGAATGTTAGATAGCGTGGGACATAGGAAAGGATGCGTAATCCCTCTTTCAAGATCGGCGGCAGGTCAACGAAGACGTTCCGTTAACGTATTTCGGCCCGAGGGCGCAAGAAGCTGCTTAGACGCAATAAGATATGTACATTCTCGAATGCATAAAATTCTGAATTGGTTAAGCCATGCAACTTGCTACACCGATGTGTTTTGGCTCAAAAACGAACGCTATTGAAAAATGATTCAGATCGAACCAATTTTTGAACCACCCTCATATAACGTCTTATTTTGATAACTCGTTATACGAAAAAATAATGTAGTTTTTAAAATTTCGCTACGGAAATCGCTTAGTACTAGTGCTGCGCCCTTCCAGATTGGTATGAAATTTTGGATCAGATGGTGCAATTTTTTCAATCCCTTACTATATAATCGTTCCTACGGAAAAAGAATTTTTATATGGTAAACAGGGATTAATTTCCAATTCTTTTTGATGAAAATTCATTCAAAATAATTATTTGAAAAAAAATTAATCTTACCGACGTTGGATTCACAAGCTGCGTAGGTCTACTTCTTGCATCCGAACACATATAAAAGGTTTCCAATCAAAAATTAAGCTTTTTATGCCAAAAGGGTCTAATTTTTAGTAATTTATGCTAGAAATTTATCTTTAGTAAATCATTTCTAGGGAATTTGGATCACATAGGTGTACTTCGTAGGTCGCATCGTATATACGGCCTCCCAAGAAAACAAGGTCTTCTATGACGTTCAAGTCGGACATATGTGGATTGTCATGACGAATAAAAAATAAAATAAGTAATAAAATCTTTACGAAGTTAATTAAATTTGCTATATTTGCTATATTTAGATCACGTTGCCATTTGAGTGTTCTTTCATGGGAGGACTTTCATCAAAATTATCTATTTACATAAAGATAATGTGTATTATTAAGAAAAGGGAGAGAGAATGGATGTGTGAAACGAAATGCTGTGGGGTGTCTAATGGGTGGTCTTGCCCGACTATAGGATTCGAACTTGTTGTTTTTGTTTTTCGACTTTATCCAATTATCAAATATATCTTAATGAAGACGATGAACTAGTTTCAAGGCGGTAATAGAAGATATTGCAATAAAATATGTAAAAAGAAAATGAGAATTACTTACCCAGTTGTATTCTATGCGAAATATTTAAAAACATATTAGAATTTTGAATATTTACATGAATAAATAGAATCTTTAGATATTTTTTTTGAAACTTTTCTCTTTGTTTGTTTTTTTTTTGTCTCTTTTTTTTTGTTTTTTTTTTTTGCTGTTAACTAACAATTAAAGTGAAGTATTATTATCGTAAGATATAAAAAGAATGGAACGGAACAACAGAACTATATAAAAACAGTAAGCTTGCGGCCAATACCGGAGATCAAAACTTGTGAAACTCAAGTGATAAGTCACAAGTTAGGGTCTCAGGGAATCAGCCATACAAACATTTTTCTCTATAGATATATTTGTATGTATGTATGCATATCTCTTAAAATGTATTAATATATTAAAGAAAAGTAAATGCTTGAACACTTACTGCAATTGGGGAAGAAAGAGAGAGATTAGGAGGGTCAGTGACGTGTGTGCGTGTGTGTGTGTGTGTGTGTATGAAACAGAGAGAGAGAGAGAGAGAGAGAGAGAGAGAGAGAAATAGAGATAGGAGAAGGAAGAAAGCTTTTTTTTTATTTTTTAATTTTTCTATATATTTTTTTTTTTTTTTTTTTTTTTAAATATCGTTAAGTACGTTAATAACACA